ATCAAAACGATGATGCGATCATCAAGTATTATAAAAACTTGACGAGAGATCAATACGCAGACTTTAAAAGCAAAATGGAAAACATCCAATTTACAATAAGTGCTGAAAGTAATTACTTACATAAACCAATTGGGGGCATTTTCATGACAAACCGCATGTGTGTTGTATACCAAACAGTCGACGAAATCCCACTGAGAGAGTTTTTGAAAAAAGATAATGTCAACACATTGGTCAAATTTTCATTGATGAGAGATGTCGCAAAAGCACTTGAAGAGTTACACAACAACAATATGATATGTGGAAACTTAAAAGTAGGAAATGTGCTGATCACACGAGGCGAGGACGAAGACGGAAATGAAACATTTAAAGCAAAGTTAGTGGACTATGGCGATACCAGAAGTGTCATGTGGGCGACTCAAAACCTCGTAAGAGCTTACGACGTGTTCTCACCAAAATACATCCCACCCGAAACATTGATTCAAAGAACTTACACACAAAAATCGGATATGTACTCCTTTGGAATGTTACTCGTGCAAGTCTTAATTTCTACGAAATATTTCAAACCAGACGAAGACGACATTGGATACCCTGAAGAAGAAGTTCGAGACGATCATGGGTGTGTACTAATACCTCAAAATATATTACCATGGGTAGTCACTAAAGCGGTGATCGGTGGAAACAAACCAGTCTTTGAAATGAGAAAGAACTTTAAGTTGCAAGAACTCGTATCAAAGTGTTGTGCAATGAACCCTAACGACAGAGTCACAGCAAGTACAGCAGCTACCGAAATGGAAAGTATTTTGGCCGACGAAGTAGAAAAGGATAAAAAGAACGTTTAATAAATGTACTTCTTTCTTTTATTATTTTTTTGGTTGTATTTTTCAATTTTAATCCTTTAGTTGTTATTTTTATTTAGTTGTCATTCAAATTATAATTAATAGTTTATAATAGAATACTAATAATAATAATAATTATAATAGAATGTTATTTACTAAAAAATATTTAATTTGTTTTTATTTTTTAATCATTTTTAAAATGTTGTTTTCTTTGTTATTAGATATGAAGAACTGAAATGTACCAAGAAAATATTGGAAACACCAGAAAAAAAACATTTTCATATTTAAATATTTAAATGAGTGTTATTTGATTCCCATTAATTTAAAGGGTTGTTGTATATTTTTTTGCAAAGGAAACAACGTATGGAGAAAAAAATAAAACAATAAAAAGACTTTAACAATCTTAATATGTATTAAAACAGTTTAAAAACGGTAATAACACGCCAAATCAATTAGTTGTGAATCTCAGAATAAAGCCATGATAACCATTGCAATAAAAACGACTACAATACCAAAAGCGTTTTCAGTATTAGATGGAGTATTCTTTCCAAAATAATAGAAAGAGTAATTACCATTGACATCTTTAGTGCATGTTTCATACTTCTGTTTTAGATTTGGCGTATTTTTGTCTTCAGTTACACACTTCGAGTCGTAATAATTAAAAGTCAGTAAATCTTTAGTAGATGTATAATTGTATGACAGAGTGTCATCATACTGTTCACAAGTAGCTAATTTAGTATAGTAATAATCACATCCGTAAGTATCTTGAGCAGTAGTAATATTGCTGCAATCAACATTTTTAAAATGTCTATTCATGTAATAATATTCTGGTATTATTACATTATTAGTTGAAGCGGCGATTTTAACGAATGTGTAATTTTCAGTATGCGGAGAATTTAAATTTGATCTGGCGTCATTACAATCTGTACCAACACCATAAAGAGTTGGTTCATCTATCATAATGTAAGTACTCATATTTTTAGTGAGATCATTTCTATAGCATAATCCTCGTATATATATATTTCAAAGTGGTCATCAGCATTAAGCATAAACAAATCTTGGTTAGTGTATTGTACCTTATCATTGCCGTTGGCAGTCATACATGTATTAATTGGTCTCACTTCTGCTGGTCTTGTGGTGTCAAGTGTCGTGCATTTTTTGTCAGTGTAATATGTGATATAAACATTTTTTATATCAGACGTCATAAAAAAGAAAAGCCCACGTGCGGACGTGCATCTATATTGAAAATAATAATATTCCGCTGATGCTTTTGTTAAATCAGTTTCGTCACAAGAAGAAGAATTGACGTAGTAACTTTCCTTGACAAAATACGTACCTACGATATACCAATTTATAACATCAAATTTTTTAAAATAATGGTTCAAAATAGGTTCTACCTCCCAATCAGGAGAAGAACATGACGTGGAATGGTACATTTTGATATTTGAATCTTTATCTATAACAACTTTTTGAACCAAATTATTTGGATCACTTAATCCTGTTGGGTAACAACGATCAACAATGTACAAAATGTAATACCCCAAAACAATATCTCGAACATATACATCGGCAGCAAAAGTAAGCGCAAAAAATAAAAACAGAATCATTGATTTTTAAATTTGATTTTCATTGTTTATACACACAAATAAGTCTTTCTTATTTCTTTAACTGGTATTTTTATTTAATGTAAATTAACAATAATTATTATTTTAATAACGTTAAACTGTATCTTATTGTAATAAATTGTATAATACTTTAAAAATAAATAAGTGTGTAGTAATTATTTTTTATTACACACCATTTTATATATTAAAAGAATCACTAAAAACGTTTATTTACAGATGGAATTATTTTGGAAAGTTATATAAGACATTCCTTGGTTTATTATTTCAAAATAACAATATTATAATTGTTTTTTATTATCGATAATTCCTTTTTTATTTTATTTTTTCTCAGTACATATTTAATTCTCAAAATGGATTATAAATATACAAAAATCTAAGTACTTATTTTAATTAATGTTTAAAAAAGAATTTGTGCAATAAATAAAAACTAATAATTATTATTTATTAAAATTTATACAATTTAATCTGATATTTAATAATTTAACCGGCCATTCAATGTTATTTACTTTTGTTTTACTTTTTAAAAAGTTAATGGTGTATTGTTTCAATTCTAGATAAAAACTTTGTTTTATACTTTGAAATATATCAACATATTTACAGTTACTAATAGTAAAATTAAACCCGATAACTGTTATTAACAATGGTGTAACAGTTATTTATTTTCATTTTTGGTTAACAAAAGTTTTTTTGTGAATTGTATTTAATTTAACAAGCCAACAGTATTTTTTGTAAAGCAAAATGCACCAGACGTAAAAAATTGCGTTTTTTTTTCATAAATATAAAAATAAAAAAAAAAGATTCTAAAAATAAATTACATATAAATTTGCTATTATATGAAAAGGCATCTTCCAGCAGTTTTCACATAGTAGACACTACAGCAAGAGATCAGACACCGGGTTTTTACAACTATTATAATGCGAATTTAACTTTAGGGCTGGATATAATCGACCACTTTTTCCAGACACTAATAATGAGTAGATATTTTTATTATTACTGTGACATCATCGGAGTAGCAATACAAACTTATTACAATTATATTTTTCGTTGATTTGTGCGGCAGAATGGGTTTGCAAAAGAATTGTTAGTTATTTTATTTAAAAAAACACAAAAAATCTAATAATATTTTTTACGCATTTTATCTAAACAAAAACAATAACCAAAATTTCAATTTTATTTTTTTAACACGTTTTTTGCGTCTCGCTTTTTTAATCGGTTAAATGATACAGTCATAAACTTACCTTTTGTCAGAAAATCATTTTAAAAATGTATTTCCAATTACTTTTTATATATTAGATTTGATAATCTGAATGATAACGTTTACAATATATTGTAAAACCTCTTCAAATGTGTACATTTAAAGAGCAATTTTTCAAGAGAGTGCATTTTTTTGTAATAAACTAAAACAAAGTTTTCTATTGTGCATAATTAAATGTTTGATTAGCTAAAAATGCCCCTTCTTGAGAGAACAAGGTTACCACATTTTTTTGGGAGGTTTTGCTGTAAATAATTTGATCAAAATATTTTTTTATAAATATCAAAACACGACAATTATTATTGTATTATAATCAATTTTTTAAAAAATTGATTTTTTCTATTAGAAGTATTTATTCATAAAGTCAGAGTTAAAAAATAATTTAGATAGCTAATTATTTGATTATATAAATAAGATGAAGCAACATATCAAATTGAAAATATTTTTCTATAATACAATTTATTTATAAAATTGACTACACTTTGAATTGAATTGTAATATTAAGTTTTAAGAAAATTCATTTTAATTCAAAACAAAAAATGTTACACAATTTAATGTTGTTTTAATGACAAAATGAAATTTTTAAATTATCATGATCCTTATATTTTTAAAATCTTCAAAACACGAAGTGAGTTAATTTTCGCAAAAGTTATTTAAAAAATAACAAAAATTATTTGCAAGTGTTTATTCCAAGAAAAAATATTGTTTATTATTAAATTACCAATATTATCAAAACAATGAAAAGTCGGTGCATCAACTTTGTAGCAATGAAGCTATTTTAAATTGTTTGCATCTTCAATTAGATAAATATATCTGTTCATTTCAAGATATTTAAACAAATTACATAATTTATTTTGCATTTTTCAAAAAAAAAATAATCAATGACTAAAATAAAAAACTATAAATTGTTGAACTTATCAAGCCATCAACAAAAATTATAATGGTTTTTATCATTAATATTACACAATGATTTATTATAATATCGTATCAAATATATATATAATTGGACAAATACAATTATACTAACATATATTATGGAAAGTTATTCACAAAGTAGCAGTTATGATTACATTTTCACGAATAGCAAATTGTAGTTTTGATAAATGGTTTTCAATTGCTTTTGGTAAATAATCATTTTTTGATAATTTGATAATAATAATTTAATAACAAAAATCCAATTTAAATCGTTTTTTTAAATAAAATATAAAAACAAGATATTTTTTCAAGTTAAAAGTTTCAAACTGCATTTAATGATAACAAAAAACTTGAACATAATATGAACAAAATGATGACATTAATTGAATTATTTTTTTGTAATTTGCTTGAAGAATGTGTATGTTTAAAAATTAAATTGATAAAATAAAAATAGATAGTATGATTCAAATTAATTTGTTATAGAAATATTAAAACATACTCAATAATGATTACTGAAAGATATTTACATTTTTGGATTTTTTCAGAAGGTTGTCGTTAAATAAATAACTTTTGTATAATACAGTTTAAAAATTCGAAAAATATTGTGACACCAATTTTAGTTTAGGTAAGAAAATATCAAACAAATGATTTTGAATTCTTTACTATTTAAATTTCAACTTCGATTAGTAATCTCATTCAAAATGGCAATAAGACAACTCTTGATGTTAACAATTGTTTTGTATCCAGTTATTGTTAAAACTAATGAATTGTTATGTTTTCCTGGGTGTATCAATGGTTGCAGTGCAAATTAAACATGTGTTAATGAATGCAAAGAGGGGTATGATGATGATAACACATGTGACCACTGTCAAATGACTGATCACAATGATTACAACTCTCCAGTTTACTTGCAAAATGATGATTTAAAATGTGTAAAATTTATTCAAAAAGCAGAGAAAAATGAACTTTCTGATTGGTTGCCTTCTGAAGACCACATAGAAGAAATTCACATTGGAAAAACAAAAGAATTTACACTTGATAGCAATAGTTATGTCGATTTTTCTTTTTGTTATTACAGACAGAAATACAGACAAGGTAGATGGTTCAAAATGGATGTTACTAAAATTCAAAAAGATCACATATCAATAGAAATCAATAAAACTGACAGTACTGATGAACAAGTTGATTTATTTGTTGATGGCACCAATTCACAATATTATGCTTCGAACCCATTCTGTTTCATTCATTTCCTTTTAAATAAAACAAATTATGAAACATTTGGAAAGTTTCCATACGTGATAAGAGAAGGTACAGATTTAAACCAAACTATCTATTATTATTTCTTTGCATCTATCAATGGATATACAAATAAATTATCTTGTTCTCT